TTCATATAATCCATGAATGCAGCTGGGCATTAGTTAAGCCAAATGGCATCACAAGAAACTCATAGTGACCGTACCGAGTACGAAAAGCAGTCTTAGGAACATCTTCTGCTTTAACTCTTAATTGATGGTATCCCGACCTCAAGTCAATCTTAGAGAATACTGCTGACCCCACCAACTGATCTAACAAATCATCAATTCTTGGTAGTGGGTATTTATTCTTGATGGTGACTTTGTTTAATTGTCGATAATCAATACATAACCGCAAGGTTCCATCCTTTTTCTTCACAAATAGCACCGGTGATCCCCATGGGACACACTTGGTCTGATGAATCCTTTCTCAAGTAATTCCTCAAGCTGCTTCTTTAGTTCTGCCAATTCAGCAGGAGCCATTCGATAGGGAGCCTTAGAGATAGGCTCTGTCCCAGGAGGCAAATCAATAGAAAACTCTCCTCCCCTCTCAGGGGGTAATCCTGACACTTCTTTGGGAAATACCTCAGGAACTCATTCACAATCTCAATTTCATCAATCCCTTCTTCTATCTCAGCTTGCACAGAAAAGAAAACCATAAAGGCCTGACATCCTTGCTTTATACAACTTTCAACTTGAACAGCTGATAACGAAGGAGGGCCACTAGGCACCTCTATAGGCAGGCCATGCATAGGCAAGGAACAGTTTTTGCTTTACAATCAAGCGTGGCACTATTAGCTGTTAGCCAATCCATACCCACAATCACATCAAGACCCTTAAGGGGCAAACAATCAAATCAATCTTTGTCTTGTGACTCTCAAACTCCAACACAAGATTCAAGCATGCATTTGAAGTTTTACAGAAGATCCAGCAGGTGTCGAAACATTCATATCAAAAAAGGCAAATCATAAACATGCAAGTTCAATCGCTTAGCACATTCAAAAGCAATAAAAGAATGTGTAGCACCAGAATCAAATAATGCATGTATACTGTGACCTTGGAGAGAAATGATACCTCTAATCAGGTTAGGAGACCACCGGCCTCCTCTTGAGTCAACGCAAACACACGACCGGGAATGGTAGATCGGGTCTCCGTGCACTCTGTTTGTTTGCAGTGCAATAGCGAGAAATATGTCCAACCTTGCCACAAGTAAAGCAAGTCCAACACTTGCCCTGATGATGCTTGCCACACTTAGAACATGCTGGAGAACGTGCGGTGCTGGGTGCAGAAACAGTAGAGCCTCTGAATGATGATTGGCTCCCACTAGCATTACCCCTTGGAGTGGGGGCCTCTGTGACTGTCTGTTCTGGAAGCGGCTCTTCTTGCTAGAGCTTCCTGGATTGAACCCACTTCTCTTGCCAATCCCACCACTAGGCCTCATAAAGGAAGAGAAACGGCCCTGGGAGTCCCTCTTTGGCTCAATTTCATAGCCATAACCCTTAATCTCAGCATCAAGGAGGCGAAGTCGAGTACACATGTCATCAAAAGAATCAATCTGGAGTGGCACTAGCTGTCGTCTAAACTCCGGTCTAGCCTTTTGTAACAACCTGTCTGCCATCCACTTGCTATTCTTTTCAGATTGTCCATAAGCAGTATACTTAATCAACTCTAGAAATTTAGCAATGAAAGCATCCACATCCATGTCGTCTTGCTGAAAAGCATAGAACTCTGTCTCCTTCAGTGATTGGAGGGCTGAAGGAAAATAGTGCTGAAAGAACATCTCCTTAAACACCTCCCATGTAGGGAAGTGCCATCAGATGGTCTAACACTCTCCCACCATCTCTTAGCAGCATCAACAAGTTGTACAACCGCCACTTGCACCCTTTGCTGTGAGGTGCATGGGACCAAGGTGAAGATAGTTTCCAAACGATCGATCCAAGCCTCACTCTTAGAGGGATTAAAGGTGCCATTAAATGTTGGCGGATCACACCTATTGAAATTCCTCCATACATCACTAATAGGCTGCTCCTTCTTCTGTTCATGCTGACTACTATCCCCAGTTTCCATAACAGTGTGGTGACCTTCTTCGGAACGATGGCCACTTGATTCATTAGCATTGATATGCCCATTTTCTTGGATGGGCTCCTCATCCTGTCTCATTTCATTCAGCTGTTGCTCATGTCTCTGAACTTGCTGACTGATTTGGACTACCAATGTCCTTAGCTCCCTTAAGAATGCTTCATTGTCCAGGGGCTCTTGAGGTTTTTGGGTTGCTATTATTATTATTAGCCGGCTGTGTCCTACGTGTATCTACCATCTCTCCCCTCCTAAAGGACGCAACCAACCAAGAAACGATAAGGCTTGAGAAACTTAGAAAAGTCTAATAATAAAGGGGAAGCACATGTATGATCAATGTATATTGCCAATGCAACTATATGCCAAAATGAAAATGAAACAAGAAACCAGAAAACATGAGGCTCTGGATACCAAGTTTGTAATAACCCCCGTAATTCATGGTAAATAAACATTTTCAAAAGATAATTACTTTAAAAGGCTAACCATGGTAGGAAGGACAAACCTAATCAAATAGAAATTTACCATAGTCATTAACAATATACATTCATAACAGTGCAGTAGCCACTAATCTAAAGTAATAAAGATAATTAATGTAATAAGAAGTAATTAATACTTGATTTTTCATGTGTATAACAAATCCCATCATGAATCTCTAAAATCTCAAAAATAACTAAGACCATCATGAATGGACTGTAGCATTTTCGGCCCACCAAAATAACTGCTACCATTGGCCATAACAATCGTAATCAAAATAACTCACCTATAACCAAAAAGGGCTCCGCCCGATAACTCAAGTCTAGAATGCAGCGGAACATTAAATAATTTTAAGTATAACAAAAAGGCCCTAAAGTTTGGCAATATACATCAGTCAAATCATGTATAACAAAATAGAGGCTATACAGAGTTGAAAGGAAAACTCAAGCCTCGGACACCTTCCCCTTGGGACCAACACCTGAACCCTCGCCTGAAAAATGTTAAATAACCACGGGGTGAGTCAAATTGACCCAGTAACCACAATTCCAATTCAACAAGTATCCAGGGAGTGATTACAAGATAGTTAAGCGGGCAAAGTACAATTTCAAATAACATATAAGTTAAACATCTTTACAGAAAACAATATATAATAATTCAAAGAGTAACTTGCATGCATAGAACTTCATCAACCATCCTTATAACCTCCTTGTAACCTCTGACAGAACCCATGGGCTATACCACATAATAGGATTCGTCTCTTTTACAAGACTGCACCAAGCTCTCCAATAATGAGGTGTAACTCGGCCAAAAGTTACAGAGCTCATATCGGACCATGGGTTCCCTTTCCTTGGAATATGAAAGGTGTCATGTCCCTTGGGCTGACCCTTGACCCGGCCAAAGGAAGGGTGATACCGAGGGCCATAAGAATGTTAATGCCAACCACTGGGCGCCAAGTGGCGGCTATACCACGTGGTATTGATAATCAGACCTCCCACAACTACATTTCAGCACAACCAACACAGCACAATCCAACCATCTAATTCCACACAACTTCATATCCATAAAGTATTCTCAGATTCAATAATCAAATTTGTTCAACATCAAAGATATTCATAAGATGAAATAATTCATGCCCACTTAACTAATAAATTTAACAAAACATAATTCTTGATATAGATATACAAATTACTTTTCATACAAAATCACCATAACACATATTGATAACATTTATAATATCAACACGTGCTTATAATCACATCAACAAGCATACAAGGTAAATTAGAAAGTGGTTACCTCAAGTTCTTGACACAAGAACTAAAAGTAGGAGGATTCAAACCCAAGAGCCCAAACCAAGCTACTCTACAATAATAAATTGATAAACATATATTAATATAAAAGACTAATTAATATAGCATTAAAATAGTTTATTAACTAAATCCCCATAATTGGTTTGCTTAAAAAATTACTTTAGAAGAATAATAATTCATCTATTCCTCCAAGTGACAATTCCTAATACTTCCCAACTCTTTTTCTCTCATTCACATCATTAATAAGAATATTTTCTTCAAATCATCTAAAAATCTCCAAAAAGTGCTTACTTTAACTCTTAGAAAAATAACCATATATCAACTATGCCTTCAATCATTATTAAAATCCTATTCCCTTCTTCCATTAATCATTTCCCACTCATTAGAATCAATAACTTAGAATATTTTTCTCAATTTCCTCCAAACACCCAACTTCCACTAATTAAAGTCTCTCCAAGAATCATTAACATTACTATTTCAACAACAATCCTCAAAGTTTAAGCATTGGATCCTCAATATAACCTCAAGTGAACTCAACTAAGAGATAAATTTCGAAATTAATCATCATTAATACAAATCACAATTTCCCAACCAATCCCTAACTCACATTGCCTCAAATCAACCATCAACTAAAATCTAAGTCATAAGGTTTCTATTCTAACCCCATAAGCTCCATTAATATCATCAAAATGAGTTAGAAACCTTAAAATAAAAAAAAAACTAACAAGCCCTAATAAACTTTATTTCAGCATAAACTTACAGAAATAAAAAGAAAAAGCTAAATAAAAATTGTAGGATGAAAATAGCTCACCTAAATATCTTATATGTACCCAAGTAGAGCCTTCCTTTCACACACTCACACTACCTCTCGCCCCCGCTCATTGTCGCGGCGCTGCGTGGATGTGGACCAGAGGAAAGAACAAAGCGGAAAGGGAAGGGGAAAAGCGGACAAAGGGGTGGGGAAATAATAGTGGGTCACGTGATCCACCATATATTCCAATTTTCAATTCTTTTTTTTTTTTTGAAAGCCACGGTCTAATGGGGACTTAGCCCCCCCTCCTTCCCGCTGGCAGTGGGTGGCCCACGTGCCACCCACTTGCCTTTTTATTTTATATATATATTTTTTTTTTATTTTTTTTAAATATAATTTTTTTTTATTTTTTTATTTTTATAATTTATATGTATATCACAGAAACTATGATTTACAATTTATTCAATAAGCTTTCATATTAAGTATTATGAATTAATCTCACCCATATAACCTAAATCCTATAATAAGATAAAGGAAAAAAAATGAAATGTTACAGCTATATTCCTCAAAAGAAGCATGTATGGGATACCTTGCAACATATTTCCTCTCCCAATGTATAGGTCAGAGCTAGCATTGATTGGGACAGGTCATGCATCAAATCATGCATCTTAAAATATTTTATTTCGCCGAATTCATCCGTCTCAACATCTTGCAAGAATGACTTTGTTAACAAAATGCGAACATATGCTTCACCTACATCTTCTAGACATTGTTTCTCGTCTTTATTTTCAAGGAAGCCTTGTGCCATCCACAAATCAATCAGTTCATCCTTATCATATATCCAATCTTTTGGATATAAAGAACAATAAGCAAAACAGTGTTTTAATTCAATTGCCAAACTATCATAACTCAACTTTAGAATTGGCATAATTGAATCATTACGGTCATATAGCTCCCAAAAGTTACCTTGCAACATATCTTCCCAATCACTTTCCTGCGATTTTGATTGCAACAAACTTCCCATAACTCTTATTGCCAGCGGAACGCCCTTACATTTTTCTGCAATTTTTTGACCAATAGACTCCAAATTTTGGGTCATTATTTTATCTTCATCAAATGCCAATCTTTTCAATAAAGTCCAAGATTGGTCATTTTTCAATCTTTTCAAAAAATATGGTGTTCTTACACCCATTATATTGGCTACCGCTTGACTGCGTGTAGTCACTAAAATCTTACTACCTTTGGCACCACACATCAAATATTTTTTCAAATTTAACCACTTCTCTCTATCCTCAGTCCACACGTCGTCAAGGACGAGCAAATATCTTTGTCCGTTCAAATTCTCTTCAAGTTGATCCTTAAGTAATTCCAATGATTGGTCATTCACACCATTGCCAATTGATGATTCCAATACTTTTTTAACGAGCGCTTTCACATCAAACTCTTCAGAAACACACACCCACATTTGCTTATCGAAAAGTTTGTTGGCTTTGGCATTATTGTAGACCAGTTGGGCAAGAGCAGTTTTACCTAAACCACCTATTCCCACAACAGCAACCAACGAAACATTTTGATTGTCATTAGTGTTTAGCAACAGATCAGTAACCTCCTTCTCACTTTCCTCCCTGCCAGTGATATTCTCTTCAAGCTTAGAACTAGTTTCCCTCCAGCTACTATGTTCATGCTTCATTTCCACAACTCTTCGATCAAAGTTCAACCTCGAAACAGTTTCAGTAACAGCCTTAAATTGCTCTCTAACCTTTCTAATCTTGCGAGCAATTTTGAGGCGAAAAGCGATTGGATTGGAGGATGAGAGGAAGTCACATACCTTTCCTTTTGCATCCCTCTTGTGCAGCAAATGCTGGGTGTGGATCTCATCAAGCAAGTCATCTGCTTCGTAAAGCACTTGTTTGAGTTTGGTCATCCAGCGCTGGATGAGTTGTTCAGTCTGCTGCTTGTGGTCAGCATCAGCAAGCACAGCTTTGATGTCTTCAATAGTTTCCTTCAGCCATTCAATCTCAGTCTCGACCCCATAAATGGAAGCAATCTCTCTGAAGGCTGATGAAGCCAACGTGTTGATGAAACTTGTAGCCACACCATATGGAACTTGTTCCGCCATCCTCAGAGCGATAGGTTGAAGAACTACGCGAGGCTGCGGTGTTTGATGATCAGATCCAGTAAAGGTGAGAGTGGAAAGACTACTATGTTCGCACAGTTAATGGCCTATAAAGGAGGAAAAAAGCCTTGGATTGGGAATGGTGACGGTATCTTCTGAAAATCTCAAATTATTGTGGATTTCTGACTTTGGATGCTAAGCTCCTGACCTTTCCTCACCGCATTGGACTTAACTCCAAGGCTAATTTGTCGTCACACACACGTACACATATGACATATTTCCTGTCTCCAGATTCCAGCGATGCTTCTTTAAATCTGAGCCCTTCACGTTTCAATCTGTTTGTCGGGACTTCCATGATCGTGACTATAAGGCTTGCTGGTAAAAATAAAAAATTAAAAAAAAAGGGCTACAAGGCTGAGGCTAATGCGTTGGAACATGAGACTTCCCCGGCCCTCAACTAGTACCTTTTTTTTCTTATTTATATACTCTTCCGCTTGTTAATATAAAACTCAGTTATTGACTTGGTTTTAATTATAAATATAAAATTTATTTATTATATTTATTAATTTTTTTTAAATTAGTCATATGGATACTCCTTCAACTATAATTAAGTAGAAGAGGAAGACAGGGCATTACGAAAGATGATTATGGTGTTTTAGGAAAAATATATTACATTTCTTATAATTAACTAACTTACCTAACTTCCTTAATCTAATCAAATTAGTTAAATTGGTCTTATATTAAAGACCGAAAGAGTATTAAAACAGATAATATATTAAATTTCTCATAAAATTCAAATAATTTTTAATATTATATATTACTCCTATGGTCCTATTTATGTGTAGAAAAAGAAAATATTTTGTGTCCTGTTTATAAAATATTGAGAGAAATTTTTCTTATAAATGTATAATTTTACTTTTCATTTATTATTATGTTGACTTTATTTATATGAGGTGTAGTATATATTACATAGAAATAAAATTAAAAGTTATTCGATTTTAAATAAAATTTAAGTTTTTTCTTAGTTTACATAATATTAAGAAAGTAACAGAAATAAATTTTAATATTGTATTAACTCTTATGTCTTTAATATCTTCATTAAATATGAGTAAGAAAATAAATAGTTAATGTTACTCCCCTAATCCTATTTATAGGTCACTTTTAATATATCTCACATAGATTAAGAAAAAATTTAAATTTTATTAACTCTTATTTAAAATTTAATAATTTTTTAATTTTATTCTTATTTAATATATATTACACTTCATATAAATAAAATCAATGTAATAATAAATAAAGGAGTTAAATTGTATATCCAAACAAAAAAAATTTCATTCAATATCTTGTAAATAGAATAAAAAATGTCTTTATGAATATAAATACAATAAGAGGAGTATTAAATAATTCTATACGTGATAGAGTGGTAAGTTATCAATCGTACGTGCATTGCCTTAAAGTTAAGGTTGGCAGATGATGATCCCGGGTTTCTTTTGAGGAAAGAGGAAGACGACAACGAGGAGATCATAACCGGTAAGAAGCTTTCGTTTTTGGTCATCAGTTTCATTCTGCAGGCTTTAACCATCTCTGTTTGTCACTTTCAGTTTCAAACTTCCTCGCAAAGTCTCAAAGTCAGTCCCTCCAGCCTTCCTCTCAGCTATCGGCGTTTATCTATGTGGGCAATGATGCCGAAGTGAAAGTGATCATGTTGAAGCTGTCATGTAGATTGTTCTTTCATTACGTGGATTAAGAAGGACGAAGGATTTTGTGTAAGTATGAACGATTTAGGAAGATCGAAAAGGCTCCTCTGTTTTCCGTAAGAGAAAACAGAGGCAAACGAAAGCTTTCAACGAGTAACAAATATATATATTTTATTGTTGACACTGTTTACTACAAAAGTACGAAATAAAACTTCCAGGAGGAACAACACTGTGCAATTAACTTGGCGTTTAAATTAATTTTTTGTCTTTCAAGTTTTAAGTGCAACTGAAACTGCAATAAGTAGATACAGGAAGGTAATGCTTCTAATTGTGAAAGTCCCGACTTGGGGCCTTGTAATAACCAACTCTTACGTCTAAAAGAATTCAAATTAATTGACAGCAATGCCTGGAATTGGGTTTGGGTGTCTGGAAAGGTGAGGAAGAAGAATCGGGAGAGAGTGGAGAAGTTGGACGTGTGGCTCTGGAATGGTGAGGAGTTGCCTTGAAAAAATTTAGTAAATACGTGAGCTGAGTTGGATGACGTGTGCAATTTTTGATGGTGTTAAATAATATTTTTTGCCAGGTAAGATAATTATTTTTTTTAGTGCCATGTAAGATAATTATTTGATCATTAAAATAAGTTATGTATGATAAGAATTAAATTATTAAATGTGAAAAAATGACAGAATAAATTATAAACAAGTTAAGATATCAGGAATTGAGTCACGCAATTATAAGTGGGTTAAAATAGTAAAAGACATAAAATATTGCCAGCTATACGTTTGAAGAGCACTCATATGAGACAATGAGCTATGAATCTGGTTATTTTATATATATATATATATATATATATATCTGTGTGTGTGTATCTGTGTGCGTGTGTTTGTTTGTATGTTTCTGTTCTTTCTATTTCTTCGGTCATGATTAAAACGCTGCGCATCTCATTCTTTCAGCAGCATGTGTTTCCGTACTTTCACCCGTAGGCTTAACAGTTCATATGAGGTCTTTGATTTTCTTCGATTTTGTCTTTTAAAAGAATAAAGTAAAATAAAGGGAATTTGGATTTTCAGTTATTCATAAAATCATTTTTGAAAAATCAAATAAATGAGAGAAAATTGGTTAAAAGTCTCTCTTTTGACAAATTAATCAATTGGGAAAATTGGTTAAAAGCCCCTCAAATGTTAGTAAGTGTAGTAGGAAAAAGATCATATTACCTTGATGGATGCTAATTGCATGTAACAGATCCTCAGTTACATATCACGGATTCTAATTGCTTATGGTGGATGCCTAATTGCATATAGGATATTATTTTGTATTGCAATTCCTAACTACATATTATTGATCCAAACTTGCATATTACTGATTCTAATTACATATTGCAGATACTTAGTTACATATAAGATTCTATTACATATTACATATCTTAATTGCATTTTGTTGATCCGAACTTGCATACTATTGGTTCTAATTGTACACTGCAAGTACTTGATTACATATTATGAATTCTAATTATATATAATTGATTCAAAGTTACATATTAGCGATTCATATTGCTTGTCATTGATTCAAATTTGCATAAATAAATTCTTTTGCTCAGTACTCACAAACAAATCCTTATGTACAAATTAACATGATGAAAGCGGGATCTGTCATATGCAATAAGCATTCGTACGTAGATAAGAATTTGTTTGTGAGTAGTACAGAAAGAAATTTTATGCTTTGGCTCAATGTACAGGAGACTTGCTTGATGGATCTTGTGCTCCGCGTCTAGTTATTGCAGAGAACAACTTCGACACATTTTGCAGCAATAACAAAGAGTGTTGGGTGTTGTATAGTTCTTATTATGTCTGATACGAGCTTTATCCTTTTTTCTTTCCTCTTGATCCTAACATCACAGGGCTCAACAACACTGGGATGGCTATTGTTTATCCGTGAATGTTTCAGTGTAATTGCTCTGAAAATAAAGATAAGTTTGTGTCTTTGTGGCACCGGAGGCTATCAAATATCGTCAACCTGTTCGAATTTTTGTTCTATCCTGAATAAAGATTCGAACTCAATACCTCGTAAATATTCAATAATTTTTATTACCATTATATTACTTAACCTTATAGCCAATATAATACAATAAATAGTTAAAATAATTAACCATCTCATTTTTTTTCCCCAGGGCCATTACAATTACTGTCATTCTTCATTGCCTTGTTATTTTATTAGTTTCAATATGAAAATCTTCTCTATCTCAAAAATATAAAGCAGATATTGTGAGTTACGTGGTCGTTTATTAGTTCATTTGAATTGTCTTCTCAAAAAGTATTATGCAGTCAGATTCCAAGAGAATCAGTCCAGATGGTTATATCTGTCATAGTGGAAGCTAATTCTACTTATATTTGACATCAGATTAATGAAGGCTTTTCAACTAATTTGAGGGTTCAATCAAAACACCAATTTAGTTAGCATATTAGTCAGCATAGAAATCATAATTTTGGTATATCTTCAACAGCATGCATGTAGTTACTAGTTTCTTTGTTAGATTTTTTTTTAATTTTAAAACTGAAAATTGAAAATAGAGTTTGATAAATTCCTATTTTAATATATTATTTGATATCTTTTTGGAGATATTTGTCAATTAAAATGGGATAATTTGTATTGATTGTGGATATTTTGAATTAAATATTGATTGTATGAATTAAATAGAGTTTGATAAATTCCTATTTTAATATATTATTTGATATCTTTTTGGAGATATTTGTCAATTAAAATGGGATAATTTGTATTGATTGTGGATATTTTGAATTAAATATTGATTGCATGAAATTAAAGATTTAAAAGAAAATCTTCTCATATTTTTATCTGCTCTTGGATAATTGATCTTGGGATTTATGATATTATCTTAATTTATCTTTTGCAGGCCTCAGAAAAGAAAATAAATATAAAAAGAAAACTAAAAGAAACAAAGAAAAAAATTTTAAAAAAATGGAGATGCAAACAACTTGAACGTCAAGATATCTTGTATTGAGAGATATTTTAAGAAAGACAACATCTATTTATTACAATAATTAACTTAACTTATTTTCTTAATTTTTTAAATTAGTCAATTAATTCTGATATTTAAGATCGGAGGTAGTGTTATATTATTTATATATTTATTGATTCATGGCAGAAGGCACCCATACACAGCCCCGCGGATACACACATACGCCGCCAATACCCTGGGAATTGATTCTTCAATTTCGCACCAAAAAAACTCGCCGCCAGAGAATTCGATTTCTGGGTTCCAGTTTTCTTCCTCTTCTTTTTTCCCCTTCGACCTCTATTTTATTTTTCCTGCATCTAATCTCCACACCCACGCTTGCTTCATGGATTCTCATTGCTTCAAACATATTGTGAGTTCTTCTAGAATCATGAGAGGCTAATCCCATTGTGCTTCTTGGAGATTGAGGAATAGTTTGAGCTTGAAACCTCAGGGGAGTATTTAGTTTTCTAATTAATTTTCTTGTGTTAGGAATATTCTTATTTGATTTGGAAACTGAGATTATGCCTTATAATTTCTGTTAATTGGATTTTTGCAGTTTAATTTGAGTTGTATTACGTGGGATTTGAATTTATATATTAATTCCTTTGCATTCATTGAAATTATTTTATCTGACATGTTGTTGAATTTTATAATTGAGATCTATTACAAATGAGTATCTACGTGAATTCTTTGAGAGAGAAACAAGTTTTGTTAACTCAATTTAAATTGCACATCAAACCTTAATAATTTGATTACTATCTACTCCTCTAGTCCTATTTATAGGACCTTTTTTATTCTATTTATAAGCCATTGAGAGAAATTTTTTTGTACGAATATACTCTTCTGGTCCTTAATATAAGACCCATTTAACTAATTTGATTAAATTAAGGAAGTTAGGTAAGTTAGTTAATTATAAAAAATGTGACACGTTTTTCCTAAAACACTATAATCATCTTTTTTAATACCCCATCTCCCTCTTCTATTTGATTATAGTTGAGGGAGTATCCATAGAGGTAATTTAGAGAAAACTGATAAATATGAAAAATGGGTCTTATATTTAAGACCAAAACTAATTTAACAATTGGGTTTTATATTAAGGACCGGAGGAGTACAATTTTACTTTTCATTTATTATTGTGTTGACTTTGTTTGCATGAGATATAATATATGTTAAATAGGGATAAAGTTAAAAAATTATTAAGTCTTCAATGAGAGTTAATGAAGTTTAAGGTTTTTTTTGGTCTGTGAAACATATTGGAAGTGCCTTATAAATAGGACAAGAAGAATAGCATTTAGAATAGTCGAGTGTTAAGTTTACTTGATTCAAACCGTGTTTGGGGCTTTTTTTTTTTTTTTCCTTTACTTGGTGCATTATTTTACTTTCATGTTTTTATAAAGTAAGGATAGTTATATTTCGTTTTTAAGAGGCACTCTTATTATTGATTTCTTAAAATTCAAATTTGCATTTATCATTTTCTCTTTATTAAAAATACCAAAAAAAAGTAGCTCAGATTTATTCCTTTATTTTCATAATTAATTTTATAAAAAGGAAAAAAAATCCCTTTTCAAACCCTTCATTTTTAATATTTTTATCACTTAGTTAACTTAAGAATTAATCAAAAGCTTCTCAAGAGACACGGTTCAAGTTGTGTTTTCCTACATAATCTGGTTTTGTTTTTTATTTAACTCAAGGTGACTAAAAAGTTCAAATTAGAGTTTAATAGAGATTTAGATAAGGAAAATCAAAATGGCAAACAGGACATTTAGAGGAAGATTGTTATTGCTTTAAACTTTTACCAGATTCTAATAATGGGAAAAGAACTAATTATTTTCCACCATACAAATATGAACCCTTTGAGTTTTTGACAATAATTTCAAAGACAAACATTGTAAAAATGTCAGGTCGTAAAAATACTTTTCTTTTTTCGCTAAATAATAAATGTGTATGGACTCTATGTTCAATACTACCATTACCTGAAAACTAGCGGTTCACTTTTAACGATTTAATATCTTTTTGTTTTTAATTCTGTCCAACAAGTTAAATGCAAGTTGACAAACTTCATTATAAAATCCATAGAAACTTTCTTTATAAATAAAAAATCCATAGAAACTTTAAGGTGATAATTTGCAAATTGACCAAATTGTTTATACTGCGTGGCAAGCAATTAACCAAGGCAATAAATATTATAAATTACAGAAATAAAATTCAATGATGATCCTCAAGAAACTTCAGCTTGAAAGTTCTTCCGTGTGATGATCTTTTATTGAGGGAGATCCAAAATGGTAGAAACCATGCAAAAATAATGTGGAATACCAAAAATATGATCTTAAATTTTTGAAAGGCCATGAAAATTTTGAAAGTTAACTTGGAAGCCAAATGTGCAAGCAGAAAAGACGTAGGAACCAGGCTTTGATGCTGATTAATGCAGCACAGGAAAAGGAAAAGGAAGAAAAGAGGTGAAGAGAAGGGGAAGAGAGAGACTAGAGGAGGAAGAACAGCAAGAAAGGAGGGAGAGATTAAGAAAAGGGAAAGGAAGAAAAGAGGTGAAGAGAAGGGGAAGAGAGAGATTAGAGGAGGAGGAACAGCAAGAAAAGAGGGAGAAATTAGAAAAATAAAGGGAAAAAGAGAATTTAGAGGAAGATAAACTAAATAATATGTTTATTCAAATCACAAGGTGTACAAAACAAATAAATTGAGATATTATTATAGGTCTTAACCTAACCCTAGAAATTGTTTATAGAAAACTCTAGAATCCTAGACTTGAAAGCAAATAATAATTAAAAGATAACAATCAAATTAAAATTAAAGCCAAATATTCCTTAATAATGATAAATATCCTTAATATCTGAAAATCATAATCAACCATGATTCCATATCCCATCAGTAGCCTTGCCACCCATAGTTTAATGAAATAATCATCCTTATCAAACATGATTGAATTGTTGCTTCCTGATAAACATCCAATAATCACCTCCTAAGATAATACATAGCTTCCCAATAACTTTTTTTATTTTTTATTTTTGAATTCTTGATTGCAGCATATTTCCCACATCTCTTATCTGTACTTGAAGAAAATGTGTGTACCTTGAATCCGACAGAGTGATCTAATCTACTCACATGATCAGTTTTTTTTTTTTTGGCTTTTTGGTTGAAACTCTGCGTTTTGCAAAAACACACAGGAGCACTGTTTGCCAAAATAATGTCATACCTGCCATACCATATAGTCATTTTTAACTAAGGATATTCAATTTGTCCTGTTCCGGTCCTGTGAATTCGGAACAGGACAAAAAAAATTTTGGGATGGGGTCATCCCGTCCCGTTCCATCCTGAGTGTTTTTTTAAAAAAATTATTTATTAATAATTATTATTGGATTATTCAATTTACTTATTGATAATAATTATTATTTTTATACTTATTTTTAACTCTTAAGTTGTAGTATCATCTCAACGAAATCTCCTTCCTCAATAAAATAATTCATAAAACTATTATATAATATTTTTTTATGGTATTTCTTTTACAATATTTTTTTATACTATATAATTAAGCTTTTTACATAATATTTCTTTATAATGTTTTTATCTTTAGAAACCCAATAAAAAATAAGCATTATAACAGAAAAAAATTTATACAAAAAAGTATAGCATATTTTTTTTAAAAAAAAAAGAAAAACGGGACAGGGCAGGATACGGGACAAAAATCCTGTCTTATCCCTATTTACCCGGATGGGACCGGGACCGTGACCACCTCTATCTTTAACTTCTAGTTTGTGTTGAGTGCATTGGACCCTTTAGATTTATTCGTGATAACACATCCCACCAGATTATGGAAGTTAGGGACCCATATAAACCAAGGTTAGTTTTTTTAAAAAAAATCTTGAGACAAAAACAAGAGTTAGAAGAATATTCAAGCGATGGGCCAATATATAGTTGCCCATGAAATTGATAAGAAATGGAATCAATGTTAACAGGGACGTAACCCTCACGTATTGCCATCAATTCTCTCTTCTTATACAGGCGAATGTATGATTTCTTTTCTTTTCTTTTTTTTTTAAATAAGTATGTGTGATTTCTTATTAGGCTATTATTCTGCCTTCCAAATAGTATATGTATGTCTCTGAAACTTATAAATTTCAAATATAAAAAAATAGACACAATTTTGAATCCAGTCCTTCTGTTGTGCAAGTCCCACAAGTTGAATTCACTTTGGTTTGTCAAATATCAAAGTGGAAAAATAAAACATAGAAGTATGCTTCTCTGCCTCTCTTTTATAATGTATAAAACAAAGTAAAAATGACAGCAGATTTAACGTGGAAAACCCTCTAATACTGAGGGAAAAAACCACGGGAAAAACATTTCACTATATCAAAAATCATTACAATGTTCTTAGAAATAGTACACATTTAAAGAAAAAAGATAAAACATAGCATGTAAACACTCCTAAAATTACAATCAGATGTGGCTGTTTTGCATAGTGCCGTATGAATTACAAACTCAACTTTATTTATGGTGACTCCACAACTTGAGCGATATTACTCTTTTCAATTCTTCTTTGCCAAATATATGAAACTTGAGATTTAAGAAAATATCAGCTCTTCACCCTGCAAAAAATCACAGACGTCAAAAGGTTCAAAATTGTTAGTTATGAATTCGCCATTTTATCAAAATATTCCCCACTAATTATAGGCAAATGAGAACTTAAGCATCTAATTATTCTACTTAATTAAGCATCTAATTATTCGATTTAATTCATTCATAACTCTACGGAATTAACCTCATGCGTATACTAGGCTTTTCATGTAAAGCACGTATATTATAGTTCAGTAACTAAAGAAGCATCTTCAGGCGCCACATAAATATTAACTACAGAAAAGATCAAGAGGGTGAGACCTGGACCCTATTCTCATTCGGCTTCAATCTTCTGAAAGCATATTGGTGGTTCTCTCCTATGAATATATAGTGGATGAAAGATCTATCAGATCTGAAGTCCGCTGCATTGGCTTTACTGTACACAAATCTGCATAATTTGTTGAGCCCAATGAAGCTTTCTTGTAAGGCCAGTGACTAAATAAGCATTGAACAAACAAAGTGAAATATGCAAGTTTTCAAGCTTGAACAGCAAGCGATGTAATTCATTGCAGTTGAATTCAAATTCAGAACAGGAATGGAGTTTCCTTATCACATTCATCCAATTCTGAAATTGAGTAATAAGCGAAAATCAATTAAAAATAAGAAGACAAGGTGATATAATTTTTTTTTTCCACCAAAAAAAAATTGTAACCCAATTTCTTTTGCTAGATACTATTCTTCAAAATAGGCTTTCATCACAAGTTTATACATATTAACCTTTTCATATTTCGACACGAAAACAAGTGACTTACAATGCAGTAAACATAACTCACAGGATCAACCTGAACATAACCATCTTGACCTGGAATTTTCATGGGTAAAAGATGGTAATTAGTGTTATTGATAATAACAAGGGACACAACAAACTATTATTGGAGCATAAGCTTAACATATTTGTTGACAAACTAGAATCCTTTCTTACTTGTCCGAGTTCTTAATTCTCTCCAACAACATTCAATAGATTTAAAGAACCCTTTCCATCATACATAGGATCAAGTATGTGCTGGTATGAGTAAGCTCAGGTGTCTAAAAAGTTTTCCTCTTACTTCATCCCAATTTGAGTACTTGCAAAGTTACAAAATAATTAACAGATCAGAATTCCTTCAGTTCTAAGTAAATGTTCCTAAAACTTTCGAATTTAAATTAAAACCATGAAATCATGATCATTGAGTAAGAAAAGGATTGAAATTAACTAAAGTAGCAGAGGAAGTGTCAAATTTGGAGTAGCCGGAGCACCCTTTAGTTGTTATCTAATTTTCATAAAAAGAGAGCAAATAAAAGTAATCGTCAAGTAATCGATTACCTCTTTGAATGTTTCCAAAGGTTTATAATCCAAGGAGTCGGACATAACCAGTTTGAAATTTAAAGGGTGCACAAGTCCGTTAACTGGCGAATACTATAGTAATCATCAAAGTAAGTAGCAATGGAGTACCTTATTTTAAAGATTCAGAGCGCAGAGCATGCTCTGTGAGGCTGCCTTCTCTTGGGAAAAAAAATGGTCAGCTGCAATGAAACGTTACTTTAGTAAGAGGAGTGGAGCTTAACAACTTGGAAGCTTTCTAATAATGAATTCTTATATGAAGGTGAAAACAACTTGAGTAGTATGTAATTGTTTTGATAAAGTAATTGTAGATATCATACGAGTTTTTGTTCTTGTTGTTTAATGGCATAATAGTTACTCATGAGTATACCTTTGGATGCATGCAATGAAGAGTTAGCTTTGACACCCATCGATCAATATATTTGGGATGTGATGAATTTTTAGCCACTCTGCTCCTGTACGTTTCTGGCATATTTCCTTTAAAAGTAGAGAACATCTATCCAGCCGTAGTGTTTGTAAATTAGTGAGGCAAGACATTTCGGCTGGAAATGACTTCAAGTTTGCACAAAACCAAATCTCTATAACTCGTAGTGATTGGAGATCACAAATCCACTCTGGTAAAGCCATGAGGTGATCACAACAAACAAATTCGATTGTTTGGAGAGAATGTAGGCAACAAAGGTCTTGGCACTGCATGTTATAATCTTCATCAACATACTGTGAATCAAGTTTGAAAATACTCAATTTTTCGAGTGTGGCAGATAGATTTTGCATATGAAGAAATGGTTTCTCTAGACTTGAAAATCCCACAATATAGAGATGTTTAAGAGAGGAGAGATTTTGCATCCATTCCTCTGGTAATGCTTCCATTTCTATCCGTCCAATGTGAAGAGACTTGAGCATGGAAAGAGATGGAGTCATATCATGTGATGTTGACGGCCCAATTGTGCTCACTCTTAATGTGTCTACCAATGGCTTTATGCTGGAGTTGATTAATTCCAAATGCCTCGCGAGATTTGGAAAAGTAGGCATGCATCTTAAGTTTGGGCAGTTACGAATTTCCAATGCTGAAAGATGTGAAAATGGAGGCAGTGAATCATGCCACTCGTTATCTCTTGTATTTTGGACATTTGCCTCCCTTTGCCATCCCCTTAAACTTCTACAGGTGTCAATTGTTAATTGCACCAAAGATGGGAAGAAGTTGGCTGATGATGAACATCCTTTATAGTATATGCACTCCAATTTATCCATCCCCTCTATGTGAAGAGTCTTGAGAGAAACAAAGCCTTCTAACGCTGGCAAGTATTGACAATTTTTGGATTCAAAAAACTCTAATTGTACAAGATTTGCACATGACAAAAGCCAATCAGATAGACATACCCCAGGGTACCGGTTTATTTCTAGTGTCTTCAAATTTTGATGAGGGTGAAGATTTTCTAGTAACTGCATGGCATCACTTTTTTCCATCTTGGGATCGTCTCCCCAATCCAGGGACAAGGAAATGAGGTTTTTCTTTGTTTTCAAATTAATATTTTTGGACTCCTCCTCTACATCCCTTACTGAATCAAGTTTGTTGATGGCTAATCTACCTTTGAGGTCAAGATCTTTCAATTCATTCAATTTGGCTTTCTTTATCTCCTTATCATCATTACCTACTATGAAATGTGACAACCTCTGCATACAAGTCATCTTGCCCAACCCCATAGGCATTCCATCATCAAAGGCCTTGCAACCTAGTATATCAAGGCGGCGCAACTTTACCAACTTCGTGATAATATCTCCAGAAAATTTCAAATTAACACAGCGGGTCAATCTAAATGTTTGTAAATTGACTAAGTTACCAAAACTCTTGGGCAAACAAGTCAAATGGTAACAACGATAAAGATTAAGATGCCTCAAATGGATCATTTTACCTATTGATTTAGACAAATATCTCATCCCACAGTTTGACAAATCTAGACTCCGTAAGCATTTTAACACAAATAAATTGGTTTGATCCCTTCCATATGTTTTCTTCATTTCATGAAAGGTTCTCAATCTACCTAGATTCAGCACATTTAGTAACCTACTGGAGTCATAGTTTTTAGAAAGAGCATGTCTAGGACACCTTGGAACGTCTTTTCCTCCCTCAATGTATATGTCAAAGCTAGCAGCAACTGATTGGGACAAGTCATGCATCAAATCATGCATTTTAAAATATTTTATTTCTTCTGATTCATCCGTCTTAACATCTTGCAAGAATGACTTCATCAATAAAACACGAACATACTCTTCACCCACGTCTTCTAGACAGTGTGCCTCGTCTTTATTTTCAAGGAAGCCTTGTGCCATCCACATATCAATCAATTCATCCTTTTCATATTCCCAATCTTTTGGATATAAAGAACAATAAGCAAAACACTGTTTTAATTCAGTTGCTAGACTGTCATAACTCAACTTTAAAATTGGCATAATTAAATCATTATTGTCATGTGGCTTCCAAAAGTCACGTTTCAAGAGATCTTCCCAGTCAGTTTCCCGCAATTTTGATCGCAACAAACCTCCCATAACTCTTACTGCCAGCGGAACACCCTTACATTTTTCTGCAATTTTTTGGCCAACAGACTCCAGATTTGGGGTCATTATTTTATCATCGTCAAATGCCAATCTTTTCAACAAAGTCCAAGATTGGTCATTGTTCAATCCTTCCAAAAGATATGGCGTTTTTATACCCATTCTCTTGACTATCGCTTGATCACGTGTAGTCAACAAAATCTGGCTACCCTCAGCACCACACATCAAAACCTTCTTCAACTCTTCCCACTTTCTGGGAAAATCATCCCAAATATCATCTAAAACTAGCAAAAATTTTTGGCCATCTAAATGTAGTTTAAGCTTATTTTCAAGCAACTCTCGTCCTTGATTATCTTTTTCTTCCTTTTTAAGTAATGATTCTAGCATCAGTTTAACAAGCACATTTACATCAGAGCCTTGAGAAACACACACCCAAATTCGCTTGTGGAAAGAACGCTCCACGTCAGCATCGTTGTACACCAACTGGGCAAGAGCAGTTTTACCCAAACCCCCAATGCCGACAATAGCAACCAAGGAAACATTTTGATGGCTATTATCATCATTCAACAACAAATCAATTATGTCCTTCTTGTTTCCCTCCCTGCCAACCATCTCCTCTTGGAGCACAGAAGAACTAGTTTCCCTCCAGTTACTCTTCTCATGCTTCATTTCAACAACTCTTCCATCTAAATTCAATTTCGACATATTTTCAGCAACAGCATTAAATTTCCCTTTAATGTTTCTAATCTTGCGAGCAATTTTGTGACGAAAAGTGATTGGGTAGGAGCATGAGACACGTACCTTTACCTTTCCCTTTCCCTCTCCATCCCTCTGGCGCAGCAAATGCTGAGTGTGGATCTCATCAAGCACGTCATCTGCTTCGTAAAGCACATGTTTGAGTTTGGTTATCCAGCGCTGGATGCGTTGCTCAGTGTGCTGCTTTTGGTCAGCATCAGCTAGCACAGCCTTGATGTCTTCAACAGTTTCCTTCAGCCAATCAATCTCAGTCTTGACCCCATAAATGGAAGCAATCTCTCTGAATGCTGCTGAAGCCAACATGTTGATGAGACTTGTAGCCACTCCATATGGTACTTGTTCCGCCATCCTTCCTCCAATACACAAATCAAAGGGAGACTCTCTCTGGTGTTCGATGATTAGAAACAAGTTGAGGAGAAAGTGCAGGAGAAGAGAAGACTTAAAAGCACTCAACTAACTCTACCATATGATATTTAACTTCATTGATAGAGAAATGACCATGGCAATTATTTTGGTGTCCCCACTGCACTGATTCATTGTCTCCCACTAAGGAAGAGGAAGTTTCCTGGAAATTGCCTATACGTCTGGCATCCATCAACTTTAAAAAAGTTTCGTGGAAACCTTGCAATAATTTCTCCCTTGTGGTGGCCCATGCAGTAAGGTTTAGAGAAACCAACGTCGTGCTGAAGTGAGAGAGAGATATATATACATATTTGTATCACAGAGACGCAGCTAAACTTAGAGAAAGTCCATGCCCAGTTTTTATTGAGATTTTTCTTCTTCTTTTTTCGGTGAATAAAGATAAACTAGTAAAAAAAAAATACAACCAGCTACGCTAAACCAGGCGAACTCGTCTTGGAGTCCCGATGCCCAGTAGACCCTTATGCAATTGCTCTTCCAAGACTATTGGAGGTATTACCCAAGATCTTTTCCTTTCAGACTGAAGGAAAGCTTGATGCCCCATCTTGTCTGCACAATCATTTGCTTCTCTGTATATAGCTTTGAACCTCAGTTGCCATTCTCTTCCCATTAGCTCTCTTGCTTCCTCTACTAATCCATTATATTCCTCTTGCGGTTGCTCCTTCTGAATTTCTTTTGTTGAGATTTTTCTGATAATTACATTTTATTATTTGTCCGCACTCTATGAAAACCCACCTTTTGTCAATTGTAGGTTGGCCCATAAAAGATCTTTGATTCTGGGTTTTGTTATATTCTGATGCTTTCTGGGCTAAATCCTTGGGAAATATTCATGGCTCATTTACAAAAATATATTATTATATAAAAGTAGAGTGTAAAACAAGATTTGATGAGAGACTATAAAGTGGCCTCACCAAAATACAGATAAATAGGTTTTATTTTTTTTTTTGTAAAAACCTAAATTTTATACACACCTCCCCTATCTATGCGTTCCTCATCCTATCATGATAAAATTTGACAGTTATCTCCTATAATGAATCTAGCACTTATCTCACATTAGTCTTAAAAAAATGTTTTAAACTTAAAACTAATGAGATTTATTTATTCCAAAGCTATTTATTTTTTATTTCCATTTGAATTGCATGAAATAACTTCCTTGGTTTTGAAAATCATGGCATGTATAACATCCATGATATATTTTTAAAATTTGAAATTTACATTAGTCTTGTAGTGTTAATAAATATTTTAAATTTTAAATTAAATAACATAAGCTATACATATAACTTTCTAATCCTGTTAACCAATTATCTTTTTATTTATACAGTTTCAACAATTTAAAAAGATATTTAATTTCTCTCTCATACGACCTTCATATTTTTATTTATTGGTCGCTTCTTCAATAATTTTAAATAGAAAAATAAATGTGAGCATTTTTTTATAGTTGGGTTTTAATTTGACTAAATTTTTCACAAGAGACCACTCTACCAAATAATAGGTTTTACCAAATAATAAAATATTAAAATAAAGCTATATATATTACATACTTTGAAATCTAATGGATATTCAATTCTTGAAATTATGTTGAAATTATAATTTATAAAAAAAATATTATCTTCAACTAACTATTTTATGGTAATTCAACTTTTTATATGATATAAAAGGTCATAAATTCATACCCATACATTATCGCATGGCTACTGAACTAGTTTTGAAAATAACAGTAGCGCAGAAATCGTATCTTGTTCCTTCTCTGGTTTCATCATCAACAGTATCCATGTGTTAAAACTTAGTACAAACTCGTTAGCACGTGAGAAGCACATGGTAGCAAGTCCAACGTCCAGTTTCGAAATTCTTGGTCTCTATCTTATCGTCTTTGCTTAGTTTACCCAGTCAAGTAGGTTAGTTCCTATTATTTTGGTGATTTATTTTATTCTGAATAAAGAGGGAGTGCTAGCAAGATTTCAGGAGATATTTTAGGAATAAGTTGAAAGCCTTGAGTTATAAAAGGCAGCTGATGTATTCGTTTATGTTAGAAAGAAATAAAAAGCATTCCTGATAAGTTCGTTGTCTTTTGCTCTTTATTTTCCTTCTCTGTTTTGTTTCATGGTATCCGAGCCAGGTTTGGATAACAACGTTATTTTGTTGCTGAAATGGAGCCTTCAAACGGAGGAAATGGACACCTTGGAATGGAGAAGCTAGTCGGTGAAGGGAATTGAAAGACGACGCGCAGCGGAAAACGACATAAAATTTTAAGACTTCCAACCCCTTGCCCGGATCTACCGATCGCGTTTAAGTTAGGTAGTAAGAAGCATTACCTTCGGTGTTCGATTTCCTGGTGACTCGATGATTCGGCCGTTCAGGATGCTTCTGCTCGCCTCCTTCGTCGTTCGAAGTCGACAACTTCGGTCGGCTTCCTCTACCGGTATCCATACTAGTAGCCCTCAACCTCGAACGGCGTGCTAGCACCTATGCCCGTCTAGGGTTTTCGAAATCCGTCCTCTCTCTCCTCTCTTAGGCCGTCTCTTATCTGTCAGTTCTCTCACTCCTAAACCCTAGCTCCTCATATCAAATATATAGGATGCTATATAGGTTTAATTAATAATATTTAATTTCGAAATTAACTCTAAATTAATTCCGAAATTAATACAATATCAAATATTGCCTAATCAGATAAGAGAACAATTAAATAAATATGGTTTAAATTAAATCCGTCTCACAGATTTAATTCACTTATTTATTTAATAAAGAGATGACGGAATTTATATATTTAATTTATCCTTATAAATTAATATCTCTTATATTTATATATATATACGAATTTATATATATATATATACACGTCCACCCTATTTATTCATTGAATCTGGACATATCTTAGATTCAATGAATCTGGACATCATAACTCGTGTTGGGCTATTTTGTGTGCGACCCTGTAGGCCCATATGAAGTTGGCAGTGGGCCATTAACTATAATGACTCACAAGTCGTAAGCGGTCTCTAGCAAGACATCACGACTACCCAAAACATATGAGGATCATTGAACGATGCAACCTTTCATACAACCATATCACGTCCCTTTTGTCACACGACATTTTGGTCATGGATGAGGCATGGAGAACTTCATCCTCCTATTCATGACCGTTACTTTCTCGATCCCTGAGTAGTCTGAGTATAGAAACGGAACTACCTTCCATTATAGTATGGCCATACATTTCTCAGACTCACTCATCGAGGGGCCCAGTAATGTCTCTCTACGAATGTGAGGGACAAATTCCATCTTGACCATTCACATTCCTCCGCATGAAAAACCACTAAGTCTGAACATAGTCTTTATGATCACTCGGTCAAAAGTGACTTTTGACTAGGTCAAAGCTAAGCGTTTCTCATGTAGGAATCCATGATGATCTCAGGTCAAGGGCATAGTGACGTGGTTTGTATATGAGAGAAGCTTATGACTTAACCCATGCAGCTCTCTCATAGCGGGTCGGTCCAACACCTTGTACTCTTACATGTGCCTATGACTTTAATTTATATCTCTATATATCTTTAAAGTCATACTGGTCTTATTTCATCTTTGCTCCCATATAGATGACCGACCAGGGACATTTAGGATAAACCATGAGTTATCCAAGGATAGTCATCACAGTAAACATGCAAATAATATGATAACTTAATTAATAAATTCATAAATTAACAATGTTCAAAACAGAATGATTGGCCCCTAGGGCACAATTTCCAACAGTCGGCACCAATTACAAATATTGGCGGATGTGTATGGAGGCTTATCTTCAAGGACAGGACTTGTGGGAACTAGTTGTCGGCACTGATAAGATCCCCAGCGAAGATTCCAAACACTCCGAAGCAAGACGCAAATGGAAGATTAAGTGTGGAAAAGCTCTCTATGCACTAAGAACGTCCATTAGCAGGGAGTATATAGAACACGTTCGAGATGTTACGTCTCCGAAAGAGGTATGGGAGATTCTTGAGAGGCTCTTCACAAAGAAGAACACGGCACGACTGCAACTTTTGGAAAATGAGTTGGCTAGCCTAACTCAAGAAGGTATGACGATCTCAGAATATTTCTTACGAGTCAAAAGTGTGTGTGCTGAAATTTCAGAGATCGACAAGGATGAAAAGGTTAGTGAGTCGAGGTTGCGTCGTTATATTATACGTGGCCTACGGAAGGAATATGGACCCTTTGTCACCTCGATACAAGGGTGGCCAACACAACCTTCCATTGAAGAATTGGAAAACCTGCTCTCAAATCAAGAAGCCTATTACGTGCTTCAGGTGTGGCAAACCTGGGCACATAAAACGGTTCTGTCGAGTAAAACTCTCCAAAGCGAATGTGGCTAGCACCGAGGAGGATGATCAGCTCAAGTGGGAGCAATGCTTTACAGTTGAAGCAGTAGATCAGAAGTCCACGTTGAGCTTCGCTAATTATGCATCCAACAAGAGTACAGAATGGATAGTTGACTCAGGATGCTCCCACCATGTAACCGGTAATGAGACTCTGTTTTCAGAAATACATGAATATTGTGGAGACACAGTCGTGGTGACCGCCGACAATTCAACCCATCCCGTCACAAATGAAGGAGTAGTAATGGTTGAAGGCAATGGTCAAGAAAATATCAAGCTGCATGATGTGTATCACGTCCCAGGTGTGACTAAAAATTTAATGTCTGTTCCCCAGATCACTAACACTGGAAAGTATGTATTGTTTGGCCCAAAAGATGTAAAAATACTTGGTAATGTGAAAGAGATATCTGCTGATGTCCTTTTTTCTGGCAAAAAGAAAGGCTCGTTGTTTGTTCTATCAGCAGGGGAGGCCTATGTGAAGAAGACAAGTCAAACCGATAATGCAGCCATATGGCATGCTCGGTTGGGACACGTGGGATACCAGCTGTTGCAACAAATCTCCTCAAAAGGACTAGTGGACGGGATGCCAGGCTTGAAAAATGTTCGTGAAGATGTGATATGCCAAGGATGTCAATATGGCAAATCTCACCGACTTCCATTCAAAAGGTCATCAAACCGACGCTCCTCAATGCTAGAACTAGTTCATACAGATCTCATGGGACCAACAAAGACAGCAAGCTGTAGTGGACACCAGTACGTGATGGTGCTGGTAGATGATCACTCAAGGTTCACTTGGGTGAAATTCTTAAAGGAGAAAAGCGAGGCGTTGACTAAATTTGCAGAATTTAGAGAAGCAGTTGAGAAGGAGTTCGGGAAGAAAGTCAAGTGTCTCAGAAGTGATAATGGCGGAGAATACATGTCTGATGAATTTTTCAAGTACTGTGATACCCATGGTATTGCTCGGCAGATGAGATACCCCTCAGCAGAACGGGGTTGCTGAGAGGAAGTTGGCATATCTCACGTCTGTTTGTCTTTCATGGCTACATGACAAGAACCTCCCTAAAGAGCTGTGGGCAGAGGCGTTTCAGTGTGCATGCCATGTAATAAACAGGTTGCCAATCTGGCTAGGTACACAGAAGTCTTCTTTTGAGATTGTATATGGAGAAAAACCAAATGTTAATTACTTTAGAGTATTCGGGTCGATATGTTATGTTCATGTCCCTAAGAGTAATAGAACTAAACTTGACCCAAAGGCTAGGAGGTGTGTGTTTGTTGGATATGATCCGTGCAGGAAAGGTTGGAGGTGTATGGATCCAAAAACGAAGAAGTTCACAACTTCCAGGGACGTCGTGTTTGATGAAGTCTCAACAACGTTCCCAGCTCCTAAGTTAATTGCTCCAAACGACAGCAACACAGAACTTCGGTTTCCTGAAACAAGTGAGAAAATGACGAATGAGGATGCAGAAGAAGATAGGCAAATATCTCCCACAAACAGTGAACCCGAAGAGCAAGTAGTGAGACGTTCAACAAGGGAGAAGAAACAACCTCATTATCTAAGTGACTATGAAGTGAACACTTGCTCGGTTGCTGCATGTTTCTTTATGGGGGAGCAAAACGAAGGAGAGCCAGCTTGCTATGAAGAAGCAAAGGGAAATCCAGAGTGGGAAAAGGCCATGCGAGAAGAGATAAGTGCCTTAGACAAGAACGAAACATGGGAGTTAGTACCCAAACCAGAACATTGTGAACCTGTCACGTGCAAGTGGGTATTCAAACAGAAGAGAAAGTCTGATGGCACTATTGACAGGTACAAAACTCGTCTCGTAGCACGTGGTTTTTCTCAAAACTATGGGCTGGACTATGAAGAAACTTTCAGTCCCGTAGCAAAGATGGTGACCGTGAGAACTGTCATTTCCTTGGCTGCATACAAAGGGTGGAAGCTGTGGCAATTGGATGTGAAAAACGCGTTTCTCTATGGTGAATTAGACAGAGATGTGTTCATGCAACAACCTCCTGGGTTTATTTCCGAAAAGTTTCCAAGTCATGTGTGTCAACTGAAGAAGGCATTATACGGGTTTGAAGCAAGCTCCACGAGCTTGGTATGGAAAGGTAGCTCAGTTTCTTGCCTTCTGTGGGTTTAAGATGTCAGATGCAGATTCAAGTCTGTTTGTGAAGCTAAGGTCCAATGTGCAGCTGCTGGTTCTCTTGTACGTAGATGATATGATCATAACTGGAAATGATGAAACTGAAATTTCTAGCCTACGGAATGATCTAGCTCTGCGTTTTGACATGAAAAATCTAGGGGAAGTGAGTTGCTTTCTTGGCTTGGAGGTTGAGAAGACAGAACAAGGGTACTTTATGACACAGCAAGCTTATGCAAGGAGCCTCTTAGATCGTTTTGGTATGAGAGAGGCAAAAACAAAAGCCACTCCCATGGAACCAAACCTGAAGCTAAAGAAAGAGGAGGGAAAGATGTTGAAGAACCCGAAAAAGTACCGACAACTAGTAGGTAGTTTAATCTACCTGACTATTACGAGGCCAGAAATTTCATACTCAGTAGGCGTTATATCTCAGTTCATGCAAGAACCGAGAGTTCCTCACTTAGAAGCAGCAAAAAGAATCCTGCGTTACATAAAAGGGTCTCTTGAATACGGGCTCTTGTACAAGAAGAATACCAAGTTTGTGTTAGAAGGGTTCACAGACGCAGATTGGGCAGGAGATACAAATGACAGACATTCAACCTCTGGTTACTGTTTTAACGTCGGCTCAGCAGCAGTGTCATGGTGTAGCAAAAAGCAAGATATCGTTGCCTTGTCCAGCACCGAGGCGGAGTACGTGGCAGCTACAATGGCTGCTCAAGAGTGTGTGTGGTTAAAGAGACTGATCAAAGATATACTGCATGAAGACGAGTACACGGTGGAAATTAAGTGCGATAATGAGAGTGCTATCAAACTTGCACTAAATCCAGTGTTTCATGCTAGAACTAAACACATAGAAGTGCGCCATCACTTTATCCGTGAGAAGGTTCTGAACGAAGAGATAGAGCTTACTGGTGTTCGGACAGGAGCTCAAGTTGCAGATATATTCACCAAGGCTTTAGTGAAGCCTAAGTTTCAGAGTCTTCGTAAAGCACTCGAATAGAAGACCGGAAGTTTGTACTAAGGGGGAGTGTTAAAACTTAGTACAAACTCGTTAGCACGTGAGAAGCACATGGTAGCAAGTCCAACGTCCAGTTCCGAAATTCTTGGTCTCTATCTTATCGTCTTTGCTTAGTTTACCCAGTCAAGTAGGTTAGTTCCTATTATTTTGGTGATTTATTTTATTCTGAATAAAGAGGGAGTGCTAGCAAGATTTCAGGAGATATTTTAGGAATAAGTTGAAAGCCTTGAGTTATAAAAGGCAGCTGATGTATTCGTTTATGTTAGAAAGAAATAAAAAGCATTCCTGATAAGTTCGTTGTCTTTTGCTCTTTATTTTCCTTCTCTGTTTTGTTTCAGGTTGGCTCACAGGCCCAGTATCTTCATTTTTCACTCGTGACCATGGCGTTCGCTTATTTATCAGGCTATCAGCAACTAGAAGCAGAGTCCAAGGGAGTTTGGGTTTAATAAAAAAAATTAATTTCTTACAACATTATCAATTAAAATTTAAATCCTTCTTAAAAAAATGCCACATTTAATGCTATATTGTTTTTAATAAAAAGATGAGTTTATATAACACATATTATAATTTAATAATTTTTTAAATTAGTTGTGTGTTTTATATTGCTGAATAGAAATAATATTTTGTTTTATACATCTATGACATGGCTCTTTTAAGAGATGGGTACGTAAAAGTGTAAAACGCGTCAACATATGTAAATAAAGCAGTATTACTTTGGGGGTGTGGTCCAATATGCAAGGGCCACATCATTACATAAATCCTTTGGAGGTTTCCCAGATACAGGAAGAAAGGGACACATTAGTTTGAAGATAAGATTGCTTTAATCCAAATGTGACATGTGAGTGACTGCTTATTAACAATAATAACGCCTTGGCCTTCCCTTTTTTGGAAAAAAAAATTAGTACCGTTTTGTGATCACGATTACATCATTGTGATGTCACACCCATGGTAGATTAAAAATATTATATAACATTTCAAAAAGAGGAAAACTATTTTTAAAAAAATTAATCTCCTATTTAAAAATTTTATTGATGAAAGGGACTTAAATCAAAATATCAATATTTTGTATGCACAAAATTTGTAGATTACCAAACATCTTTTATGTATAAAAATTTATAAGATTCTTCTCATCAATAAAATTTTCAATAGGAATTTTTTCCTAATTTTTCTTTAAAGATTTCATTTATGCCAGGAAATAAATTAAACAGAAACGGCTTGCAAATTAATGAAACTATATTTTCCAATCATTAATATAATAATTTGAAAAAAAATATTATATAAATGTATGAGAGAGGGAAACTTACATTTTTATTGTGATGTCATGCCCATTTAATATTTTGTATATACAAAATTTGTAGCTGGTAAAAAAAAATACAAAATTTGTAGATTACAAACACTTTTTATGTATAAAAATTTATCAGATTCTTCAAATTAATAAAATTTTCAATAGGAATTTTTTCCCCAATTTTGCTTTAAAAGATTTCATTTATGCCAGGAAATAAATTAAACAGAAAGGCTTACAAATTAATGAAACTATATTTTCAATCATTAATATAATAATTTAGAAAATATTATATAAAATGATGTAATAAGAAATTGATTAAAAAAAAGATAGAGTAATAAATATGTAGAAAATGAAATTAATTTTTATTTTTGTCATTTTGTTCGTGATCCCGTCTCTTGTTATATGTTTCAACGTTATGTAGAGAAAGTATTTGCCACATAAAAAGATAATTACATAAAGGTCATGTCATGTCATCCAAAAAAATAAATTATGATATTTTTATTCAAATTAAAATTACTCTCGGTAAAGAGAGTATAAGAAACGTAAAATGCTACAAGACTATTACAATATTTTTATCCATTAAAATGCATGGAATGGAAGCATGCCATGGAATCCAACAGAATGAAAATGGTGATTGGCATGAGGGAGAAGCATTCGCCTTCATCCATGCATTCCTTCTGGAAAATTAACAAATTAAATCCCAAAACTTATTCCCACAATCTCTTTAAGGATTTTTTTAGGGGGGAAAAACATACTTTAAGGAAGGTTACTAACTTAGCAAATGAGTATTTCTTCGATCAATAATGTAGTAAGGCTATTTATCTATTTTGGTAGATTAAGGGTGTTAAATAAATTATTTAGTTATAACATATGTGCTCTAATATTTCTAAAATAATTCCGTGTGACATTGGGTATATCACTTTATAAGTTGCATAAATTAATTTTAAAGAAATAATAAATGCAAGAAAAAATAATGAATTAAGATATTACATTTGATTAGGACCAAAGCTTGGCTACTATATTTACTACTATATTTAGAACAAAAGAACAATTCGACAGTAATTATGTGGAGTGAAAAAAATTGAATTAAAAAAATTTTACATTGGGAAGCGACTTTCATTCAAGCTAATAATGTTGGAATTTGATCCAATAATACTAAATATTATATATTACTTCTATAAGAGCTAATTTGATATTTAATTTGATCATAAATATAAAATCTTAATCTATTTTATCTTTCATATTTATCATTTTTTAAAAATAGTCTTTGTTGTGGTTACACATGTTAAAGGTTCTATCAAATAGTAAGTCTAGTTAGTACATATGATTAGTAAGAGTATTTAAAAAAAAATCTAAATAGTACAAATAATAACGTAGTAAATTTTCCTGCTCAATTAAGTAACAAACTCTTTTATTAAAAACATGAGGGAATATTATATATATTAAGGGGAAAAGGCGAATGACTACCAAGTGTAGGTTTAATTTTCACCCTAGATGCATCACTTGGCCCCTACTTAAAAGAGGCTTTTATATCTCATCAGAGCGTCTTAAATTATTGCCTGCTCCTGTCCGTCACACGGCATTTTTAGTGAATATCACTACGAACGTTTTGAACCTGCTGCATCAATTCCCTAATTTATATGACCCCATGTATAACACCACGCCGTTAAGTTAATAAATCACCAATGTCAATCTTGTTGATCTAATTTAAAACCCTACTTATTTAACATAAAAATAGTCAAACACTAAATTAAGTTAGTTATTTATAATAAATAGACGTTGTCGTCTTTTTTAAAATATTCTTATTAATTATGTGTATGGAAACTATATTTTGATAGAGACTCGTTAACATATGCAATCGTCATAAGAATTACTTACAGGCAAAATAGATAAATATTAGAGATTAAATAGATTGGGGTCATATTTTAAAACCAAATTAAATCTCCAACTATTTTCTACGTTAATGACTGGAAGTAGCATACATGAAGCATGCCCATGCCCGTTCAGAATCAGATCATAGAAATAAAGGATTAAGTACAACAATAAAAAACACACAGCACTTACTCTTCCCATTAAGTACTTCAAATATACACATACAAAAGCTATCTATCTACTATTTAATTTTCTGATTAAGTACCTAGTTAGCAAATTGAAAGTTTCAAGTATATTTCATCAATACACTCAAAAGAAATCCCTGGTGATGAGAAGCCAAGAATTGCAGAGAATATTGATGTAATAATTAATTACCCCAGATCATGAATTTCAAGCGTAAGTGTTTCTTTAAGAGGATATTGTTGTGAGGTGATCATGATGCATATATGAGATTATATTTAGTTAATTTTTGTTTTTGCGTTTTCTGATAAAGAAAATGATCCAAGTGATGACTTCCAGCAACAAGGCAATAACAGCCAAAGCTGCAATGGCTGCCACATAAGCAAGCTTCCATCTCCTGTTAGGGCTCAAGATGTTGAATCCTCCAAATATGTTAATGATCCCAAGGATGATGCTGATATATCCAACACTGTGATGATACATATTCCACCAAAATCTGTACTTGTGATCCTTGTTTGGTCTCAACAACAATGCAAATACCTGCAATTTTCCAAAATACACACAGAGGTTAAATATAAACAGAGAGATTAGAATATTTCTCTTGAATTAACCACATCATGCACTAACAACAATGCAAACTATAATAAGTTGTACTGTCCATAAATTATACTCCCTATGATCCTAGATTACACTATAAAATGAATATTATATTTAGAAAAGAATGAGTAAATAATATGGTTTATTTTCATTTTGTGCAATGCATGCATGCATAACAGTAATGGCTATGCTTTACGTTACTAAATGGAGTCGATCATATGGATAACACTATCTTCAATCCTTAATATAAGAACTAGTCGACTAATTTAAGTAGATTAAAGAAATTAGTTAAATTAGTTATTTGTAATAAATAAGTGTTGTCTTTCTTAAAGTATCTTACAAATCAAGTATATTGGCTAGAACTACTATTATTATAAAAATTATTTTAGAAAAAAATGAATAAATATAAGACACTTGAGGTCTTATATTTAGTACCAAAATAAAAGTTAAACAAGGTCTTATATTAAGAACTGAAAGTAGTAACATATTATTGTGTTCTATTCAGAACCATGTTATTATTTTTTATTCTAAATATAAGACCTAATTTGTATTATCAGAATTACTATTTACAAGTACAATAGCCAACATCCTCATTTGTTACCTGTAATGTGGCAAGGCAGAAAAGGGTAATTCCAATGTTGCGATGGCCAGAATACTGAATACCCTCAGATTCACTTCCAAGCTTAAGACCAATGGCCCATCCTGAAACTCCAATGGCGTATCCTGAAACTTGACAAAACACATGAAGGTAGAACCATGCTGAGTCTAATGACGGAAATGCCCTCATGTATCTCGCTATTATCACCCCCAATGGGAATAGAATCCCCCAGCTCACTGTATTCAGCACTCCATGAATCTGCCATATATTAATTAATTAATCACAATCAAATTATATTAATATATTCCGTAATTAATGTAAATCAGTGAAGCTTGATAATTTACATTCTTTTGCTTTGTTCTTGAATCATCCCCACCACTACTAAAACCCTGCCCAGACTTCAAGTTCAATACGCCCTTGGATTCTAGATTCACCGGAGCAAAGTTATGA